AGGTCCCAAAATCCATACTCTGAATGGTTTTTGGACTTTGAAACCCTACTATTTGGGTACCTGGACGCTTAGGGTATGGATACATGGAGCCTTAGGGTCCTAGATATATCCGGGTGATATAGGTGCCTTGCGAGGTTGAGGCTCAGGCTCTTCATGCTAAGGGAATAGGGTTGAGGGGTTACGGTTCCGGGTATAGAGTTACAGTAGAAGCCGGAAAGTTGGAATACCATTATCGTAACCCCTTTAAGGTAAATTATAGGGGATCCTACCATTAATCCATATTCCAACTCTCTGGAGTTCCCTTTATGGGTGTAGGGAACCCAGGGTTTCGGGTTCAGGCTTTCGATTTTAGGTCTATAGGATGTTGGGTGTAGGGTTTAGGGTTTCGGGTTCAGGGTTTCGGGTTTCGGGTTTAGGGCTCCAGGGTATTGGGTGTAGGCTTTAGGGTCTAGGGTTTAGGGTATAGGGTATAGGATTTTGTGTGTAGGGTTTGGGCTTTGGGGGCTACACACATATACACATGCATACTCATACATATCACAAAAAGCACATACCCCTGTACCTAGATATACCTACATACATGCATACATACATACATATACATGCACAGACATGTATAAAGATCACGACTTGGCTGTGCGAATTGCAAAGAGGTTGTAGCAGGTTGCGTTTCAATTGGGTTTCACCGTTGTAGGCGTCATACTGAGTAGTCCCACTGCAACTATCTTGCAAACCCCTTTTTGCTTTCAACGCAATTCGGCTCGATATGCCGATATGCAATCGGACGTCTTCATATCTCCCGACGGGCTGTGGTTATGGATTTAAGGGGTTCGTCGTGTTCTAAGTAACCTGCATGGAGACGGATCACAGTGTATACAATACAATTACTTGAACCCTTCGGGTTCTATGCATTCACAGGACGTCGTAGATGGTCAGAATGCCGTAGGAGATAGTGCGCCTAGGAACGCTACTGAGACAGCGATGGCAGCACCGGCAGAGGAGAGGTTGCCCTCGAAAGCACCTCCAGTGCCAAAGGCCGCACCTGTGATCACCGCGGCGGCACCGGCTGGGCACAGTCCCACGCCTAAGGCTCCACCAGCGCCTGGCGGGTGGAGAATTTATTTTTGCCCTTTTTTTTTTTGTTGGCCCTTTTTTTTTTCCTTGCCCTGGGCTCCTGGGTTCTCTGTATTTGCACAGGAAAAATAGCTCTTCTCTCGGGATTTTCTGCATTTCCACAGGAAAACATCTGTTTCCAGAGCCATGTAAACCTCACGACCAAACCCTACAAACCCCAAAAGTCCAAATACCTATAAGCCAAAACCTAAAAGCCATGCGCCCTGTGTGGGTGAGGGATCAAAAAAAAATTAAATAAGGATCAAAAAAAATTAAATGGAAAGATCAAAAACAAATTAAAATAAGGATCCAAAAAAAATTAAACCACTCAAAATACAGCAATTCCTGGGGCAGAGGCATCAGAAAAAAATTAAAATAAGGATCAAAAAAATAAATCACTTAAAATACAGCAATTCCTGAATTTTTCCAAGGGAAAACACTGTTTTCCTAGGGATTTTCTTTTGTTTCCTTAGGATCTGGTTGGTTTTTCCTCTGGAAAATACGATATTCCTGCGGATCCCGTGGTATATCCCTAAGTTGTCCTTGATTTTTCGTAGGCAAAGGCCTATTTTCCTATTACCTATGGCGTTCGTGTCATTTCTTCGGGTTTTCAGAAGGACAACATATGGTTGTTACTCGGGAAAATCAAATATTCCTTGCAACTTCACATTTAGGACGGATTTCCTGTTATAGCTGTTGCTGGTATTCCGCTTCATCATCTTTCTTAAACACGCCCCTCATTTGGCGATTCTGGTTCAGCATGTATCTACAAGGGCGGAGACGCCCTCATTTGCTGGGTTTCAAAAAAAGGCATATGCTTCAAAGCAACCCTGCACGGCTTAAAACAGCGGGGGGGTTGGGGGGGGCGCAGCCCCCCCCATTTGCAGACACAACGTTCACATGATGGGCTTCGAAAACACTCTTTGAATCAAGCTTGCACGTCTCGAAAAGCGCGGCGGCGGGTATCTACTATATAGTATACATACACTCTTTATACTATACATGCTATATATGCTATATATAAATACATATATATATATATACTATATACACTGTATATACAAAACACACACACTACATAAACTATATGAACAATATATACTATATATACTATATATCTACACTATATATACTATATATACTATATATACTATATATATATATATGCTATATATACTATATATACTACACATACTATATATATATATATATACACTGTATATACTATATATACCATATGTATTATATATACTATATATATATATACTATATATACCATGTGTATTATATATACTGTATATACTGTATATACTATATATACTATATATACTATATATACTATATATACTATAAATACTATATAAACTATATTTACTATATATACTATATATACTATATATACTATATATACTATATATATACTATATATACTATAATACATATATATACTATATAGACCATATTGTATTATTATATACTGTATATATATATACTATATTACTATATAAACTATATTATAACTATATAAACTATATATACTTATATATACTATATATACTATATATACTATATATACTATATAGATATACTATATATAATATATACTATATATACGTATAGCTATATATATACCATATATGATATATACTATATATATATATATATTATATACTATATATACTATATATACTATATATATTATATATACTATATATACTATATACATACTTTATATACTATATATACTATATATACTATATATATTATATATACTACTTATACTATATATATACTATATATACACACTATATACATTATATATACATATTATATATATAGACTATATATATATATATATATATAAAAATACCGTATATGCTATATATACGATATATATACCAGACATATATATATATATATATACTATATACATATATACTTTATATACTATATATATACTATATATATACTATATATATATATACTATGTATTTATATATATGTACTATATCTACTACATCTACCATACATACTGTATACACCGTTTATACTACACATACTGTATATACTATATATATATATATATATACACTCCGTCCTTCCTTCCTTCCTTCCCGCGGCAGGGCCTCTCTCTCCCTGCCTGCCTGCCTCCTTTACTTCCTTCCTTCCTTTCTTCCCTCCTTCCCTCCTTCTTCCTTCCCTCCTTCCTTCCTTCCTTCCTTCCTTCCTTCCTTCCCGCGGCGGGGCCAACCAAAAAAAAAAAAAGGGCCAAAAAAAAAAAAAAAGGCTAAAAAAAATAGGGTCCCCAAGATCAACCTGGCTGCGGAGTGCGACTACTCGCAGGATGGAGAACCGCTGGACGTTGAGCGGTGCGTGGACCTCGCAACGGTCCCCGTCGCAGAGCTGAAGGAGACCGTGCTACCAGTCTGATGGCTCTTAAGGTTTGAATCATTGATTGAAAATTTGTTCTGAGCATGCAAGGCCTCAATGCGTGTCATTATTAGCCCAAAGCCCAGAAGCCTTTCATCCCGAATCCTAAACCCCTAAAACCCCCAAATGCCTAAACCCCTAAACCCCTAAACCCTAACTTTGTAACATGAACAGCAGCAGCAGCAGCAGTGGCAGGAACCCTAGAACCTAAACCCTAAGATTAAGAACACCTTTCTGGAGTCTAAAAGCGTGCTTCACCCTGCGTTCTTCATAGGTCGTCGTCTTTGAGTCTGACATCAAGGATTACAAGCTAGGATTGGTATGTGGATACGCTGTGTATATATATACACTATATATTCATATGTATGTGTATATATGTTATATATGTATGTATATATATATACATGTGTATAGAGATATGCACGTATACCTATGTATATGTACATGTGAGACACCCTGCAGACTGCAACATCTAGGCTTTCCCACTCCAGCTGAATGCTGGAAGGTCTCTGCCAAAGCTACCTGAAGGGGTTCAAAGTACCTAGCAAATCTGGAGGCACTTGGGTGCAACCTAGTAGTATCAAATCAACAGCAAGGACAATTTTTGGGTGGTCATCAAATTTACCACCAGATACATATGGGCGTTTCCGACAATAGGGGATCCTAGTATCGCACCCTGAATAGTAGGATCCTTATTATAAGGACCCCAAAATCAGGTACCCCTAATTTTCGGAAACTCCCATATGGGCCCCTAAACCCTAAACCCTAAACCCCAATCTAGGGTACCCCTAGTTTTCGGAAACTCCCATATGGGCTGTTGCGTGATGATGCTACTGATGTTTGAGCACATTTCATGCCCGGGGTCGCGAAAACTTACTTGGAGGTTCATGGGACTTAGTAAAGAGCTCCTCAAGAGGCTCCTTAAAGGGATCTATAGGGTTCCTTAAAGGGATCTATAGGGTTTAGGGTTTATAGGGTCTACTTGGAGGCTCATGGGACTTAGTAAGTACAGTTATAGGTACCTTAACTGGGGTTATAAGTACATAAAAGTATAGTTACCTTAGTTATAACCCTAGTTACTAAGTCCCATGAACCTTCAAGTAGACCCTAAACCCTTAAAGGGAACCCCAGTATAGAACCCTATAGTACCCTTAAAAGGAGCCCCTTATAACCCTAGTTACTAAGTCCCATGAACCTCCAAGCAGGGGCTAGGGCCCTCGCTTCTTCACCCTGGCCTACAGAGCCCAATATCCCCAACTTAAACTCTAAACGGTTTAGGGTTTAGGGTATCCCGAACTTAAACCCTAGACCCTAAGTGGGGTTCCCTGGGATCCAAAGACCTACTGTTCTAGGGGTTAGACCCTATAACATAACCTACTGTTTTGTAGGGTTTAGGGTATCCCTAATTGAAACCCTAAGTGGGCTTCGGTGTTTGGGCAGGCGTGGCCCCCAGCGTCATGGAGACGCAGATGCAGGGAGTTCCGTTCATTCTGTGCCAGCCCCAGGGCAGAAGGCTCGAATTTAGCGGCCCGCCGTAAGGGTTCCATAAGTTCTACAGTTAAGGTGTGCTATAAGGTTTGTATAAAGATTCTATATAAAGTCTTCTTAAAGCGCTGAGGGTTTAAGAGTCCAGGAATCATGCGACAATTGCAGGAGGAGGCTGATTTGCATGGTAGCATCCCTCTATTTATCTCTTTCCTGGACATGCGTCGTGCTTACGCAGACCCCCGGGAGGATCCCAAAAGTAGATCCCGTTATGGGGTTCCTATAAAGTAGCCTTAGTAGCATAGGGCCCCAAATTAAGGGATCTACCTTCTAGATCCTCCGGGGTCTGGGTATAGTCTCCATTGTAGTTCCTGTATCTGTTCTAGCCAGTTCTATATTCATTGTCCTATAACGTAGCCAACAAAGGGAGTTTCAATGGGGACTGCAGGTAGGATCATGTTGTGCCAGGTTCCTTCGGAGCTTCCTAGATCTTGCAGACCCTAAACCATATTTTAGGGGCCTCAATAAATACCTATACTATTTTCCCTTATAAGCCCGTTTGAACTTTTAGGGTTTACAGTACTCCTCAAAGTACTGTTGATGATATAAATCCTGCAATACCCAAAATACGGAATATACCATAATTCCCATAGTTTAGGGTCCCCAAGGTAATGCAGGATTTCTATCCCTAAACCCTAAACCCTAAAACCCTATAGATCCCTTAAAGGTACTCTTATAGATCCCTTTAAAGGAACCCCAGGATTTCTATCATCAACCCTATAGATCCCTTTACAGGGGCCCTTAGGGATTCATGGATCCCTTTAACTAGGACCCAGAGTAGGCCCTTATTCCCTTTTTAAGGGTTTAGGTTCCCTTATAACACCCTTTAAACCAAAAAGGGCATCCTTTTTATCCCTAGGTTACTCTTAGGTCTTGTTAAAGGAATCCTATAGATCCCTTCAATACTAGAGCTCTTGGGAAGATCTGGGTTCTCAGCCTTTCGGAGACCCTAAACCCTAAACCCTAAACCCCAACGAATGGAAGGGCCCAGGTCGGGCTGAGGGCTTTCTGTAGGGTTTATAGGGTTCCTTTAAAGGGATCTATAGGGCTTCCTTTAAAGGGTTTAGGGGTTTGGGGTGTAGGGTTTAGGGTGTAGGGTTTAAGGGTTTAGGGTTTAGGGGTTTAGGGTTTACGGTTCCCTAAACCTTAAACCCTCACCCCTAAACTAGGGATATCAGAGTATCCAGGGTGCCCCAACGTGGACACAAAGACCCTGTTTTCCTTGATCAGGACTTTCAGACAAGCCCAAGCTCAAACCAAAACACCTAAACAGCCCTAAAAGCCTTCAACCATCCCTAAACACTAAACCCCCAAACCCCTAACCCCTAAACCCCTGAACCCCTAAACCATAGGCCCGTGACTTGATTAACACTGAACCAAGCCATGTGATACCCATTTAAACAAGTATACGACTATACAAAATTGTGCAAAACCACGAGCCTATGTCAGACCTGTTAACAACTATAAAACCATGTTCAATGTTGTTTGTAAAACCCTAGATTGTCTATGTCGTGAATCCTCACAAAAGCATCATTCCAGCCTAACGCCTTATCCCTTACAGCTTTACCTAGACCCCCCAACTACCCTCAAGTATACCTCAAATACCCAATGTTAAGGACCATAAGGGCTCCATTAAAGGGCACGTGGTGAGCCAGTGAGCCCTGAGTTCCAGGACTGGAGTCCATATTTAGGGCCCCTTAAACCCTAACCCCCAAGGAACCTACCTTTTAGGGTTCCCTCATATGGTTTCTTTATATAAGTCCTTGAAAAGGTAGGTTACGTGGGGTTAAGGTAAGCCCTAAACCCTAACCGCCCAACGCAAGCTGAATCCTGAAGCCCTACATCCCCTAAAACCCCTAAACCCTCAACAAACGTACGGCCCAGCACTCCCATCCTCTAACCCTAGAAACCCTAAACCCTAAACCCCTAAGCCCTAAACCCTGAACCCCTAACCTTATAGGAACCCTTAAAGGAACCCAGATAGATCCCTTCAAAGGAACCCTAAAGCCCTAAACCCTCAAACCTTACTAAACCCTAGAGAGTTCTATAACCCCCTTAAAGGAAGCCCTATGGATCCCTTTAAAGGAACCCTTATAGTTCCCTTTAAATAGGAAGCCTCTAACAGCCCCTAAACCCTATAAACCTAAACCCTATTCTAAACCCTAACCCCTAAACCCTATAAACCCTAAACCCTATAGATCCCTTATAGGAACCCTTAAAGGAACCCTTAGAGTTCCCTTGAAAGGAACCCTCTAAAAGCCCCTAAGCCCCGTTCTAGGACTCGAGTCTTAGGTCGGGTCTCTTCGACTGCGAGCAGAAGGTCTCCGTGGTGCACGGACAAGTTTCGCGGATCAAGGTGGGCTCCTCTAAGGATTCGTTTAGGGTTTAGGGTTTAGGGTCGCTTTAAAGGGCTCCTTTAAGGGTTCCTCTAAGGGGTTTTAGGGTTTAGGGTTTAGGCTTTGGGGTTTTAGGGTTATTTAAGGGTTGCTTTAAGGGTTCCTCTTAGGGTTCCTCTGGGGGTTCTTTAAGGGTTCCTTTGAGGGTTCCTTTGGGATTCTTTAGGGTTCCTTCAAGGGACCTATAAGGGATCTAAAGGGTTGAGGGTTCCTTTAAAGCGATCTATACCTAGGTTCCTTGAAGGGTTCCTCTAAGGGTTCGTTTAGGGTTCAGGGTTTAGGGTTTTAGGGTTATGGAAGGGTTCCTTTAAGGGTTCCTCTAAGGGTTCCTCTAAGGGTTCTTGAAGGGCTCCTTCAAAGGGCTTCTACAAGGGATGTATAGGGTTTAGGGTTTAGGGGTGCGTGGACAAGTTTCCCGCGTCAAGGGGTGTGGGGTTTCAAACTTTACCGTTGGGGCTATAGCCCTAAACCCTAAACCTTCTTATAAAAGGAATCGAAACGTACTGTTTTGTAGGATCTGGACCAGAGGCAGGATTTTGAGTTTCGGGGTTAAGGGTCTCGCATTACCTTACGAAGGCTTAGGATTTAGGGCTCCGGGAGTGTTCTGGAATGCAGCGTGTTCTCTAGAAACGCCCGGAAGCTTAAACCCCAAAGCTTAAACCCTAAAGCCCCCAAACCTAAACCCTTAAGGCGGGCTCCCTGTATGCATACTCAATCTGCAGCTCCTTTAAGCGTCCCTTTGATGGCTCCTTTAAGGCCTCTTTACAGGAGCCCTTGAGGGGTTTAAGGGAACCTTGAGATACTTTTGGACTTAGGTGGTAAGGTCGTGCAATAAGGTAACTACACTTATAAGTACGTATAACCCTACTTAAGGTACTTATAACCTTACTTACTAAGTCCCATGATCCTCCAAGAAGGGTTTCGGGGTTTGAGGCTTGAGGGGTCCAAGGTTTCCTGTCAAGGGTTCTGTAGAGGAAATGTTTGTTTGCAAGGTTTGTTGTATAGGGTCGGGAGTCGGGATATCTGTTGATGCTGTATAATGCTATTCCTTGGGCTCCTCAGTATGGGTTTAGTATACCTGGAGGGGCACGGGACTTAGTAAGTCGTTTGTAAGTAGGGTTATATATAATTGGGGTAACTCCGGTTAGGGTACTTACAATTCTACTTATAACCTACTTACTAAGTCCCCTGCCCGTGCAAGTAGTCTACCCCAAACCGTGTTGCTATGTCTACGCGAGGTGCCGGAGGCCCCACCTACGTACCAACTAACAAATATTCGCGACACACACACACAGACCCCCGGGAGGATCTAGAAAGTAGATCCCCTAATTTGGCGCCCTATACTACTAAGGGTACTTTATAGGAACCCCCATTAAGGGATCTACTTTTTGGATCTTCCCGGGGGTCTGGGTAGAGTTTGGGGTATCATCTTAGATAGTGAGCGGGTGAACTTTAAACTTTTCGGCCTTATATCTTAGCTCTATGTTAGAAGTTTTGAACTTGTTGGGGCCCTGTTGCTGAAGAAGAGAGTCATATAGTAGCCCTAAGACCTGAACCAGTACGCGGCTTTCTGTGTTAACTTTCCAGCTACCCGAAGTACGTGGAGTATCATGGGACTTAGTAAGTACAGTTATAAGTACCTTAACTGGGGTTATAAGTAATTTTACGTATAGTCACCTTATTTATAACCCTAGTTACTAAGTCCCATGAACCTTCAAGTAGACCCTAAACCCTAAAAGGGAACCCCAGTATAGAACCCTATAGTACCCTTAAAAGGAGCCCCTTATAACCCTAGTTACTAAGTCCCATGAACCTCTAAGTATCCATCCAAAGCATAGATCCTAAAGCCCGTAGAGACTATACCACCAAGCGGAAACCTTGAAGTCGGAACCAGCTCTAGGGTTTAATGTTTAGGGGTTTAGGGTTTAGGGTTTAAGGGTTTAAGGGTTTAGGGTTTAGGGCTTCGGGTTTAGGGGTTTAGGGTTTAGGGTTTAAGGGTTTAAGGGTTTAAGGGTTTAAGGGTTTAGGGTTTAGGGACCCGAAGTAAGCTCTGCGCTACATCTGTCCATCCGTCCGAAGCCAATACCTCTGGCCATGCAGGACTACGAGGAGGTTGCTGCCTCAAGTTTCAACTGCTGCGAGTTGGCCCCATTGGATTCGGGAATGCGATTTTAGTCGGCAGAGTCTCTTGCTGCAGTCACTCGTAGACCCTATTTCCTAACCTAGCCCCAGACCCCCGGGAGGATCTAGAAAGTAGATCCCCCAATTTGGCGCCCTATACTATTAGGGGTACTTTATAGGAACCCCCATTCAGGGATCTACTTTTTGGATCCTCCCGGGGGTCTGGGAACTTTGGGCTTTTCGGCCCCGGTGTGTTGGGTTCGGAGTTCAGGGTTTAGAGCTGAGGATCGAAACTTGACATTGAACCAGGGCCCCCCAAGTGCCCTTTAAAGGGCTCTGATTCTGATATTTCTCATTAAGAGGTAATTTGGGGCTACAATAACGCGTAGTTGGGGGGTCTAGGAGGGCGGTGCAGGGTTTAAGGGTTAAAGGCTTCAGGAGTCGGATGAGGGTTTTTTGCTGGACATGTTTCGGGTGTAGGGTATTGGGGTTTCGGGTTTAGGGTTATCGGTATCGGCGGAATCGGCTTTGTGGATAGGACTCTTGAGAGGATGGAGCAGAATCCCGAATGAACGGCATATCGATGTTGGCAAGGTGTTTATATACTGCAGATTACTTCTTATGACTAAGCACGTAGACCTACCTGTACCCCGCTTCTCACAAAAAACTATCTTAAGAGCATATGTCCAAGGACCTTCTAATGCGCAACCACAGACATGTAGATTTCTGACTTTACTGTTCAGGCGGCTTGAAACTGCGATGATAAATAAGGTAAACATACTTTGAAGTGCTTATTCAGTCGCAGGAACTTAGAATAATGCCCTTATAGAACTCCCCTTTCAAGGAACGCAACTCTTGAATGTGTTGCTTTGTTTGTGCTGGGCTCTGATGGTTAATTATACTTAGATCCCGAATACCTAACCTTTAAACTTGTTGGGTTCTTATAGTTTAGTAGGAATCGGAAAGTTTAACCTTTTATTTCTGTGGCTTACTGGGGTAGTAAGTATAGCGTCCTTCAGGGTGAGCGTGGTTCGGTTTTGCGTTTGGAGTGTTCATGCGCCCAGACCGCCTGAAAATCTAAACAATCTAAACCGAGATCCGCCAATATGGGACCCTATACTACTAAAGGCTACTTTATGGGAACCCCTTACGGGATCTGCTTTTGGATCCTCCCAGGGGTCTGGGGAGGGTACCAGGGATACAAAGCCCTGTGGAGAATTGAGACTCCCTTTCCTTGGTGTTCTTCTGGTTGACTCTTAGGACTTTATTTTTTGGGTTTCTATATAGTTAAACTATAATGAGGAGGCTAAAAGTTTAATTTTTAGGAGGGGTTCAGAAGTCAGCCAAGTTTCTGGAACCCAGAAGGATCCCAGAATGACATAAGGGTTTAGGGTTCAGGGTGAGGCCCGGAGGTCACTTGAACTTATACCAGTAAGACTAACCATACCCAAAACGATGATGTGTATGATGCTGATGATTCCGTCAACCACAAATAATAATGCTGACAGCTTTATGAAATGGGCTATCAGCGTGAAAGGACAACCCGCCTGGCCATGAGGAGCTGGTGGTGATGCTGAAGCAGGGCGGCGGGTTGTGCCGGCGATGTTATTACATCAAGAGAGGGTCACTCGCCAACATGCGGCTCTCCGAACTGGTGCAGAACCTGCAGACCAACGACAGCTTTGCCGACAAGTTCGCAAGGATGAGGCAAAGTGCGACGCAGTTCGCAATCCAGTTTCCAACTCGAAAGTGGCGCCACGAGAAGCCGGACTTGAAGATTCTGCTTGCACGAAAGAACGGTATAGATTGTGATGGTGCGTTTCATATATGTCTCGTGTAAGTGTTTTCGTAAGGGCTTCATCGTGCGCTTAGAGGCTTCTGGCATAGGGGAATGTCAATCAATCCTTGCGGCTATTACGAAGTATAGTTGTAGAAAGACAATAGGGGATGCCCCACTTAGCGTGCCGTGCTCATGTAGCTTAATGTGGTTCCTCGGCCCTAACCCACCTCGCCCCCAAAGTCTGTTCTATTACATTCTACTGCCAAGGTATCCAAAGTACGCTTAGTGCCCAAATGGAGGGTCGGGGGACTTAGTAAGTAGGTAATAAGTAGACTTATAAGTACCCTAACAGGGATCCTAATTGGGGTTATGATACTTGTAAGTCTACAAAATAACTACTTACCCTCCAAGCAGGCTGGTACGCATTTTCTCATTGAGTCCTAAATCCTCAACTCCTCTAAACACTCAGCTCTGCAGCGTTTCGTGTCTTGCTGGTGGGCAAGAATTCTTAGGTACCCGATGGGAGAATGTTAAACATCTTAGCCACATATATATATATCTATATATATATATATATATTTGTATATTTGGTTTATCTAAGAAAGAGTTCTTTAAGAGGCCCGGACATTGAAGAGAGCCCCTGGAATCCCGAACCCTAGCCCTACTCATCCATGTGATCTGGGAAGTGCACTTATTGGTAATACTATTGTTTAGGACTCCTGGTTGTCATTGCACTTTACTATGCCCCAAAACCCTGTTCTCGTGATCAACGCTGCTATACTAAACCCTCTCTCCACAAAACCCATGATAGCAAACTGCACAGGAGACCCCTTCAGGAACCCTTGAAAAGAGGAATCCAGTTCTGATTATCAAGGCCCCTATATTACCCATAGAGAGTGTCTGCCTTGGCCTCAAAAAGGTTGCTAGACAGGTGCTAGAAAGATTCCTGTCAGTTATTCCGACCTCCGAATCACGCCTTGAACCCTCACATAAGGATCAACTACAGTAGAAGCCAGAAAGTTGGAATATCATTATCGTAACCCCTTTATGGTAAATTATAGGGGATCCGACCATTAATCCATATTCCAACTTTCTGGAGTTCCCTTTAGCCCAAGAGCATCATGCAGTGTGGTCTTCCGAGCAAGCAGTCTTAGTTTAAGTGCACTAGGGTAAGCCAGGAATCTTATAGCATAGGAGACTGAATATTTTGTAATTATAACTTACAGCAAATCCCTGTAGTGCCTCAGTGTAATTGTTGTCAAGTATACCGTAACATCCGATAAAACACCCTCATAAGGCCCTTTATGAACCCGTTCATACATCCTTTTCAAGAACCTGCAAAACCCGGTGCCAATGGCAGAGACTCAGGTCATGAAGTCGAAAGACGAGGTGCCGCTTGCGCAGTAGTTTAAGATTCAGAATTGGGGTTCTTTTTCAGGGAGGGTTCTGTAATAGGCTTCCATTTAAGGGATCCTATAAGGGTTTAGGGTGGGGTTCATGGTGAGGTTCAGCTTACCAAGTCCTTCGACGGTACTCCTGGGCCTGGAATACCATACTTGAATATTTTTGGGTACCTGTTCCTTAAATCCTTAAAGGAACCATTAAATATGAGAGTCTATACTTGTTTCTCCCTGGTTACTTCAAGAGAACCAAAACCCCTAACCCTAAACTTTAAACTACGGTACAAGCTGTCGAGCTTTGCAGCGGCCCATAGATGAGGTGGTTATATGAACCCTTTGGGCTGCAGCTGCGTAACGTAGGAGGTAGCCCTAGACTCTATAATTAATCCCTAAATCATAAATCTCTAATAACTCTAAACCGTTATTATACATGACTTCGATTTGTGCTAGAAGCCTTGATTTAGGTAAGTGTAGCCCGCAGGCGGAGAAGCCGTATCCGTGCAAAGGTCCCGAAATGCTTAATGCAAGCACCTGATTTGGGGTTCAGGTTTTTTGGGCTAAGGTTTGTTAAGAAGGCAGCTTTCCTTAAGGGCCTTCATATTGATTGGGCTTGTTTCAACCCTCATCAAGGAAACAAGGGGTTTAGTACTCAGGGGCCTCCATCATCAGCACTATAGATCTATAGCACCGTTTAAGGGTTCTATCTGGTATCCATAAAAGGTTCCTTGAAGGGTTCTACGTTTCCTGGTAACCAATACTTGGCGGTTCGTGGGATTTAGCAACTAGGCTTTATATAGTTCGGCGGTCTCTTTACCTGCTGTTTTGTTTTAAGGGTCAGTATGCAGGGATCCTTGTTAGGGCTATATTAGGCAGTATTAGGAACAGATACAGAGACCACCATGGGACTTAAAAACCTGGGGTTTGAAATAATATATTTAACCATACTTAAAGTTGCTTATAAGTATAACCCCAGTTGGGGTACCTATACTTAAAACTACAATAACCATACTTCGAGTTACTTATAATCACAACCCCAGTTAGGGCGGTTATCCGTGTATTATACCAAGAATCAAAGGGTAAAAGGAGGGACCCCTAATAAGGACCCCTAGGTATATACCCACAATATAGCCATTATATAGCCCATTATAGGGTAGGGGTCCCCATTAAGGGTCCCTCCTTTTCATTCCTTTTCCTCTTTGAAAGAATCGGGCGGGCACCCCACCGGGAAATGCAATCAGCCGTTCGACTCGTTGGGGGCACATCGATCGCTGGATTGTCTGTGGCGCATGTTGACGATAAATCTTAGGGGTACTTAGATGTTTCATTTTTGGTTATTATAATCCCTAGGAGCCCTAGGAAACAGCTAAAATTATAATTGTTGCTAGGGTTCTAAGTTCAGTATAGAAATGGCCCATTGTGCGAGTTTAACGGATTTGGTCGATACGGCTGGCAGGGCGTGTTAGAAGGGCAGGAGACGTAGTAAGTAGGTTATAAGTAGAGTTATAAGTACCCTAAATGGAGTTGCCCAAATTACAACCCTACTTATAAACGACTTACTAAGTCCCCTGCCCCTCCAAGTGGACGAAGCCGTGGCCACCACGCTCCCAGGGTCCGGCCTTTAATAAGGTTGCAGTGTTGTGCGGTTGGCATCCCATCCCTCGCTCTAGATTGTCTGCTGCAGCATTTTGCTTCGTGCGGCACCCGGGGTGGGTTCATTGGGTTGAGATTATGGCTTCTAACCCAGAGGGTCCATATACACTACTATTATGGAATTAGGCCCCAAAAGACCATCCCCATTATGGTTTTGGGGACCTAATTCCATAATGTGGTGTATGTGGACCCTCTTGGTAAGGTTTTTCATTCCTTCACGGGTTTGTGGTGTTGGCATTCGGCCACCCACACTGGTTCAGTGCTGCTGCGTCATTTTGCTTAGCTCTGCACCCTGGTGTGAGCCACGTTGGCCTTGAAAATACGGTAACCATACATAGAGTTACTTATAATTATGACCACGGTTAGGGTACCCATACTTAGAGTTACTTATAAGTATAACCCCAGTTGGGGTACCGACACTTATATATACGGTAACCATACTTAGAGATACTTAGAACCCCAGTTAGGCTACCGATAGCCCTAAACCCCTAAACCCGTTCTTCATGAGCCTGGATCACTCTCGTACCCCGAAGCCCAAACCCCTAAAACCCTTAACCCGCAATTCCCAAGGTTTGCTTGGATTTGGGGTTTAGGGTTTTCGGGTTTAGGGTTTAGGGTTGTCTACACGGTTTCAGATTTAGGGTCTTAGATCGGGTCTACTTGGAGGGTCGGGGGACTTAGTAAGTAGGTAGTAAGTAGACTTATAAGTACCCTAAAAGGGACCTTAATTGGGGTTATGGTACTTATAAGTCCCCAAAATAGCCAATTACTAAGTCCCCCGACCCTCCAAGTAGGGTACCGTGCACCCCGGAAGGTGATCATGCACGCCGGGTTCCGCCGTTTCCCTGCTCGCCCGATCTACTCCGAAATCCCCAGGACGTCTCTCGCTACATAGCTGTATAGGTGTCAAAGCGTTCAGGGTTTCTGTTGGCTCAGGGTTCGGTTTTCAGGCTTACTGATTGTAGGAGGGTTAGTGCCTTGGGTGTTTGATGGTTGCATCGAGGGGATAACGGCTAATTCGGTCTTTGAGCAAAAAGGATCCAAACAACGAGTGAACTAAATCACAGGGCGAGTACCGGAGAAGGCTACAGAGTCTCGTATACAATTGAAAGTTGTTTATCGGTTTAAGGTGATGTCGAGAAGTCTTCCTTGCCTACCATACTACCTTATGTAACATGCGTTCATGATGTCTAGTTTTCCAAGTAGCACCTGGACCCTTGTGGTTTCGTTCCCTTTCAAAACGAACTGTAGGGTCAAGGATGTGTTTTCTTAGGGGCTACTTGGGAACGAGGATGATGTTTCTTTGACATATGACATCGGCCATCGGCCATCGGCACTTCACAGCCATGCACGGCAACACAGGCCCTACACCCGAAATGCCAAGTTTCTGTGCAAAAAGCTTTAAACCCCGCCAAAAACCCCTAAACCCAAAACCCCAAACCCTAAAACCCCCTAGATATATACCCTTAATATAGCTATTATATACCCATTATATAGCCCATTGTAGGGTAGGGGTCCCCATTAAGGGTCCCTTAATGGAGACCCCCACCTTATAATGGGCTATATAACGGGTATATCATAGCTATATTAAGAATATATACCTAGGGGTCCTTTGGGGGGTTAGGGTTTTAAGGGTTTAGGGTTGTTAAACTTCCACTAACTATCCCGTAAGTACGAAACATACCTCAAACTATAGTAAGACCCCTTATATAGGCTCATCAGCTTAGGAGGATGCTAGGACTTCGTGTTTAGGCTTTAGGGTTCAGGGTCTAGGCTTTAGGGTCTGGTGTACAGGATGTAAGGGCTCGGCATCAGGATCGCACGATTATCCAATCGAGCTCCTGTTGTGCTGGCAGGAAGAACTCCACCAACAAGAAATACAAGTTCATGCGCTTCCTTCACCAGGAGGCATCCGATTTTGGAAAGGACGGTCCTCTGACGAAACAAAACTCAAAGCTTTAAACCCCAAACCCCAACCCTGAGAACATAAATTCGGGTCGTAAACCGAAGACACTCTGAGGCATGAAATTATCCACAGCTGGTCTGGGCTGGGGTATTATATATGTGTATGTGTGGATCAGTTCTCATCAAGCTGATTACATACTACCATGCTTTTGCTTCATTAAACGAGTGCCTAGAAAGCTACTTTATGGCAAAACTCGGGTGCTTGACTGTTAGGGCCATATCCCTTTGCTGGGCGATCGAGTTGCAAGCCCCAAATTCCATACCCTCAAGGCCGGATTGCCGCTCGAAACCGATATTGGCTCAAATCTAACCCCTACGCGCTTTAGGGTTTGGGGCTGGGTAGGGTTTTGGGGGACGATCCCTATGATACCCTGCTTTTGAGGGCTCGATCAAGTACTGGAAATCTCAGACTGGGTTGTTGCCAGCCTGTGCAAAACACTAGATCAAGAACCTCAGTGTTTGTGCCGCCAGGCACTGTTGTCCGTTGTGGGGGGATGTTAGTCTTATGCCCTCATGCAGATAAAATGCTCCATTATTGTCATAGTGTCCTGCTGATTACTGCAGTTGCTGCACTATATGGCACAGGTTTCTGTATGCCTGGCATACAAACACGGCCCATTCAATGTGTTCGGCTTCTGCATCCGTCTCACGACATGTAGCAACTAATGAGTGTACATGTAGTGTGTATTAGTGCATATGCTAGATGCGCGGAGCAGGTCACGGCATGTGCTTCCTTCTACGCCCCTGTTGCCGGAGCCCTTCGGGGGTTCGAGGGTTCCGGGATTTCGCTTGAGGACTATACAGACCTTGCAGGGCCTAGACCGTCTCCAAAACCCATGACCCTCAACCCACTCCCAAGCCCATGACCCTCAACCCATGGTGTTGATTGTAGAAGCTACAGTTTTGGGTTTAGGGCCCGGATCCTGCAAACATTAAACCCGCAAAGCATCAAGCTATGTTCTATACATCCTGCGCATATGCGCTTATAGCTTAGAGCCTCGATTCCTGAAAAGCCGAATGAACATGACCTCGGTTCCATGTGCAAAGTTTCCATAATTAGCATGCTTGCCGCTTAACCTTAAAGGTCCATGTACATCTACAATGAATGTTTGGGCACGTCGGCCCTTCAGGAAAGTCTGTATACAAAGACTCCAGGCCTATCTTAGAATATGGGGTTTTCCGAAAATAGGTGGCCCTAATATGATGAGGGTCCTGTACACATATAGTATAGGTACTGAGCCCCTAAAGTACCGATCTATTACGGCCGAAGTATCTACTCTAAAAGTGCATGGACCCTTACACCCTAGGCCTTAAAACCCTAAACCCTAAGTCCCAATACCCGACAGCCTCTATTAATTTATAGAATCCTTAAACGAACTAAACGAGCCATCGGCCATGAACCCACAACTTGCGAGTCGCAAAACCCAACAAGAAGCAAGACTGTCTGGTGTTAGTCTAGGGTTCCTGTAAAGGGTACTGCAGGGTTCTATAATAAGGGGTCCTTAAAGGTATCCATAAGGGTTCCTTTAAGGGATCCTTCAAGGGATTTATATGGTTTAGGGTTCAAGGAACTCCTAAAAGACTATCTGGTTCTTAGTAGGGAAGCGGGGAATGGATCCCTTTTTGGGGTCTATAAGGGATACTATCAGGGTACTATACTGTTTGTTTGGGGGAATGGTTCCCTATAGTAGTCCGAAAATATTCCAATAATAGTCCCTATGACCCATTCCCCCATTCCCTACTAAGAACCCGACAGTAGACCCTAAACCCTATAGATCCCTTAAAGGAACTATTTTAGTACCCTTTATCGGAACCCTACGAACCCTACTTCCCTACTACCAAGAACTCACCCCAGGGGCAAAGCAGAAGTGCCGCAAATCCTGGTGTCCTTGCCCTGGTGCAAAGCAGCCGTGTCCGAGTGCAAGTGACCGATGTGCCCGGTTACGGTACTTTGACACTCGAAGCAGACAGCAATTGGACGTTGGATGATGTGAAAAAAGTGCTGGATAGGGTGATAGCAGCCAACGAGGTCCACGAGGTCCACATCCATTTGGGAGACTGGGGTTTTCATGCATTGACGCGCTGCACCCCATACACCATGCCGGTTTCCCATTTGAGGCAGGAAGATCAGCCCTTGCGCTTTTGCAGGCATGAGTGGACAGACAGCTGGAGAGCCCAGCTGCGAATATGGGCTTGTATAGTCTCTGTATCACTGCACGGCTCTCGGTGGCTTTTTAGGTTTCTCAGTTTTGGGGTTGTGGTTTCTTTCAAAGGGACCTCCAAGAAAAGATGCTGCTTGCCTTCTTAGGGTAGAAGAGCAGAAAAAAGAGCACTTTATCCGAACGTACTGTCCTAGTTAGTCAGGACCCAAAGTTCACAAAGCCCTAAGCCCAAACTGGCAATAGCTCCAAACCCCGATGCCCCTAAACCCTGAACCCTAAAACCGGATCCCTTAGCCACCCGAACAGCCCTAGTCACCCCATTAACTCAAAGCCCTAAACCCTAGACGAACCCTAAGCCCCACTAATCCACAGCCCTAAACGCGAAACGAACCCTAAACCGTAAACCCAAAGCTCTGAAAGCCCTAAGCGAGCCCCAGGTCTTTCCACCGTGCCGTCTGCTGATGTCCGTCATGCCTGAAGGGGTGTGGGCCTTTAGGTTTCAGCTCCCTACAGGGTGCAGGGTTTAGGGTTTGGGATTCAGGATTGTTTTTGTTGGCTTAGGGCTAGGGGCTCCGTCGGTAAGCTTTAGCAGCTTTCTATGACGATTCTGCCAGGTATGCTTAACCAAAGGTTCATTTTCGTTGGAACTTTGTTTTACTGTACTTGTCATTCGATTGCCCACATGAAGCTCACACAGCTCTTCACGGAGAAGAAGATCAAGGCATGCAGCGATGCCACTAAAGTAGAAGCCCAAAACTCTAAACCAAATTCGAGACCACGGCCAGCGAGATGCACCTTGAACCTCGTGCTGGCTTTGTTTGTTCGCACATGTGTCCAGGCTAAAAGGTGCTGGAAAACGAATGCAAGGCCTTCCTCCAAATGAGCTACATGGTCGAGCTGCTTCAAGCAGCTTGCCACGGCTTTGCTTCACATGTCAACACTCCCTGGATCAGACAAGCAGCAGACACATGTATGGCTTCGTGGCTTGCCTCGCCTTGAGAGAAACATGGCAATAGGAAGCTGCATTGGCTATTACACATGTCGGACCATTACCAGGGACCAAGGATTACCAGCCACCTTCGGTATGGAAAGAAAACACAACACCATCACTCGGTATGCTGCCGCCATCACGGACACAATGTAGTTGGGAACCCTGAGCCCTAAACCCCAAATGCTAATCCCCAAACCCTCAACCCGAAACCCCGGGTCTAGCTACGGTACGGGGTTATGGCTCATGGGGCTTTGAGTGTAGAGCTTCGGGCTTGGGAAGGGGTTTATGGTTTCATTTAATTTCGAAGGTTCTGGTGATTCTGGTATTCGACGATGAATGGTTCAGGGTACATTTTTTAGAGTATAGCGTCTCAGGCTTAGCAGGAATGTTCCCGGAATTTGGTGTGTAAGGACGGAGGTTGCAGGTTTGGTGATTGCAAGATTTGCAAGTTGTGCTGCACTCGCATTCAACCTGTTCTGTAGAGGCGCGGTTGTGGATATGTTAGGATTTCGGTCGGAATAACCCGGAACCAGACCCCCAAGCCTAAACGAGGTGCACGAACTCGAGCGTTCTACACAGATTCAGGTGCAGTACGGTGAAGTTCACACATGCCCCCTTGTATACCATATCAAATCACATCTACACCCCTCAGACTTCAGATGGGATGCAGTTGTGCAGTTCATGGTGCGCCAAACCCTCACCCTGTACGACTGAACAATGAGGATCCTGGTCAATCCTAGAACCTCCCCACTCGAAACTCAAAACGGTTTTGTGTTCAGGGTTCCCGTTTTAGGGTTTGTGAGGCTTAACTTGGCATTTGCTTCCAATGACTATAGGTCGTAAACCCTATATATAACCCTACGCGCCCAGGCACCTTATTATTGGGTTCTTGAAGGGTCTCTAGCGCCCTAACGGCAATAATTAAAAGGTCTTTGAAAGCATAGGGTATATAGCTTCGCCAGCCACTGTTCCGAAGTTCCCCCTGAACCCTAAACCCCTAAACTTTTAACCCCGAAACCCAAACCCCTAAACCCTAAACCGTTCCAGGCACTCTTCCCGGAATTGGCAGCGGCGGGCAGCGTGCGGCTGCCACGTATTAGTCTCCTGGAATCGGGGTCCGAAAGACTTCCTACTCCCAGCGACTCCCACCTAGGGTTCCTTTAAGTATTAAGGGATCTATAGGGTGTAGACCCTTAACCCTAAACCCCATTTAGGGTACCCAGAGACTTTAGAAGCCCTTCACTAAGGAATATTCCTTAAAGCATATTGGAGATTCTATCCTATTATAATTCCAGGTATGTTTCTCAGTTCCCTTATAGAACCCGCATAGATCCCTTTGAGGAACCCTTGAAGGAACCCTTACGTATATTGCCTAACTAATGGATATCGGAGTCTCTTGGCTCGAACTATTTTGTGATCGTGGCCCGCCGGGGTTTTTGCCGGGCTCCGCTGGTTCATAAACCCTAAACCCGTCCTAAACATCGGTAATGAACCCTTTCAGCCACATACAGAAGAATTAAATTACATTAGGAACAAACAAGGACCGAAACGTAATTAACGAATGGACTAAAGAAAATCTCAATGTTACCTTTTTTGTGTGGTTTAGGTGCTTTCTGGGCGCTTACACAAGAAAACAACAAGAGCCCCGAGCCAGGTGGTCAGTGTGGACCCGAAGCAGTTGGTGATCAAGCGGATTATCTTGACAGGCGATGTGCGCGTTTTGGAGGTTTAGAGCTTAAGGGTTTAGGGTTTTGGAGATTTAGAGCTTTACCGTTTAGGTTTTTTTACTACGGTTCCTTGTGTATTCGGTTTTGTAGTTGTGCTTTCTTCCGTAGGGATCTCCGAAAACATGTGTTTGTTGCTCACCTTGAAGGGTGAATGGAGTTTAGAGTAAAGGCTGTGGGAGGTTGTACCGATGTGCTGCTCCGTGTGTTACTTCTTACAGGGCTTCTGTAGGAGCACTCTCTAGAAGGTTATCTTCAGGTTTCGTGGTTGGGGGCGTAAAAGGTAGATCTGGCCCACCAAGGCTAAAAAGTTCAACTACGACAAGCAAATGACCGTGGCCGATGTGGAGAAGTGCCTCTCCGACAAGTTCCACATCGGTTATGGAAACTTCAAGTAGAACGGTTGATGGTATAGATCCTGCATGACCTTAAGGGTCCTAAACCATGGGAATAATGATTTAGTCCTTATCCCTGGGCATCAAAATAGCCCAAAAGTCTTATATAATAAGGTCTTTGGGCCCAAAAGCCTTAATATATGAGTCCTTAGATGCCCAGGGTATTCTGGGTAATGCAGGATTTATACCATCAACAGAAGTACTCTTCGGGTGCTCCTTCCTCTGGATGGGAACCACCGCTTGCCCCAATCGACGAGAGCAACGACGTTGCGTTGGTGATTACCTTGACGTCGAAGTCTCAAGAATGGAAGAAGGCAAGCAAGGTTCCGTGAACGATACCCGTGCAAAGTCTATGTATATAATAAGAGTAGCAGTCACAGTTAAGACAGCAATAGCAGCAATGACGGTGGTAATACATGTCATAGTAATAACAATGATAGTCACCACAGTATTAATGAAACCTCTATGCAAGCCTCCCAGTCTTCGAAGCTGCACCTGCATTCAGCTCCTTGGAATAGCTTCCCGCTACTCAGTCCCTGTTAAACTTTGCTTCCTCAGGGGTGGAGCCTCTTCATCACGAAGTTGAGATTTCGTTCGAATGTCAAGCCACAGCCATCTCCCAGGCCCTCAAATGGACCTTCGGGGGAAGACCCTTCCAAATGTAGTGGACTCGTAGCCTTGTCTTGCCCCTCCGACCCCTACAGCATCAAACCATCCGTATCTATCAGAATCTATCAAGGATCACGGCTGAGGGTTGAATGTAAAGTCTCCTTCACAAACCCAATCGTCTAGGGTATGGCACCTGCCGACCAGCGTTTAAGCCTTAAGTTTCTGTCGTGGGTTCCTTTGTAAAGGGCAGTGGAGCTTTAGGATTAGGAACGTGGCCGCTTGGGGTTCACGGTTTGAGATTTAGGGTTGAGGGCTTCGGGCTTATAGGATTTAAATGCTAAGCTGCTAAATTAGCTTAACTCTGGGGCTGGTAATAAAGGGGCCCAAATGAGGGTAATAGGGTTTAGGGTTTTAAGTAATTACCGATACTATTTTGGGGGTTCCTTATTGTAATATCAAGTATAAGTATAGTGTCATGGGCGAAGGCTAAGTAGGCCCCTATAGAAAAAGGGTTCATTTTGCAATCGGCCCTCAGAGAGGCTACCCCTTCCGCACGCAGAAGAACAAAGCTGTGGTCTGAGCCACAGATGTCCCTAAATACCCAAACCTCCCTAAGGCTCCATGTAGCCATATCGTATGTACTTAGGCCTTCAAGTACCTATATAGGGGATCTCTTTAAGGACTAAGTATCTACTATAAACGTACAAGGCGCCTTTGGGTCTGAAGCCGCATGTCAGCACCCCCCCTTAACCCTACTTGGAGGTTCATGGGACTTAGTAAAGAGTTCCTTAAAAGGCTCCTTAAAGGGATCTATAGGGTTCCTTCAAAGGATATATGGGGTTTAGGGTTTAGGGTCTACTTGGAGGTTCATGGGACTTAGTAAGTACAGTTATAAGTACCCTAATTGGTATAATAAGTACATATAAGTGTAGTTACCGTATTTGATTATAGCCCTAGTTACTAAGTCCCATAAACCTTCAAGTAGACCCTAAACCCTAAACCCATAAAAGAGAACCCCATTATGGAACTCTATAGTACCCTTAAAGGGAGCCCCTTATAACCCTAGTCACTAAGTCCCATGAACCTCTAAGTACCCAGGCTTTAGAGCTTCTGGCGAGAACCCTGACAGTAACCCCCATAAGGTTGGAAACGGAATTAGGGTTTAGGGTGTAGGCCAAATAGTGGTATTTTTGTTTTTTTCGGGACCGTCTCGAGAAATAGGCTCATTTCCGATTTCGGACAGTTGGGCCACCTAACGCAAATTTCTGGGATTCCCTATACATGACTCTTAAGGATTGAGGCTATTGAGTTTCCAACTTTTGGGCTACTACTATAAACACTAAACCCCTAAACCCGAACTCCTAAACCCTGCGGAGCGAATGGAATGCCGCTTTGTGTTGAGGGCTCTCTATTTCCCAGAGGGTCCAAAGATACTATCATCATGGAAGTAGGCCACCAAAGACCATTCTAATTATGGTTTTGGGGGACCCAATACTACTAGATGCCAAAGGGAGCACTTGAAACTTGTGGGGGCTACACACATAGTCACTAGTCCATCTGGGAGCGTTTGAACCCTTTGATTTGGGCCCTGCTATTGCGGAAGAGAGCATAGAATAGTAGTATGTATAGGTACTCCTGATTACATCTTGCTACAATTGTCCCCACCACACAAAAGAATGGTTTGCATTATTTAAGGCCCTAAACACGGCCTCAAGCTCCGAAACCCAAGCTATGAAGAGTGAAGAGACCCATCAAACCAATCCAGCAGCCCTCAGCCCTCGCAGTACGCCCGCAGGGAGCGTTGTGTCCAAAGCATGCGCCAGCTAAACAAGATCTAGACCGCTGCACGAGCACCAGAATTCACGCATATGGAACCACACGAAGCCCCAAAGGCTCCATGTACCCTTATAGTAGATACTTCAGCCTTAGCGAGGTCCCTATATCGGTACCTTAAGGCCTGAGTATATACTGTATGGATACCATGGACCCTTATACCCTATAAACCCTATAGAACCCTTTAAAGGACTCCTTTAAGGAGCCCTTTAAAGCAACGCTATTATGGGTACCATGGAGCCTCAGTGGATACATCGAGCCTTTGGGTAAACCGTCTCGAAGAGTGGCCTGGTGCAAGTCCGCAAAGAGCAGTACGAACTTGCTGAGGCAAAATACGGTTTAGAGTTTTGGGTTTAGGGTTGATGATATAAATCCTGCATTGCCTTAATGACCCTAAAATATGGGAAATATGGTATGTTCCTTAATCTGGGTGATGCAGGATTTATATCATCAACCGTACCACGATGTTCTATAACGTCTCCACATCCTCAAAGACCCGCACAAACTGAATCGCCAAAATCTGAAACCTGCGCAAGCTGTGCTGAGTATTGAAGCAAGGTGCGTTTCATGTTCTTCAGCCCTGAGGATATCCGCTGGCCCAGACCTTGGGGACTGTGTTTGCATTCGGTTAAGGGCCTAGAAACCTCAAAATCAAAGCACCACACCCAAGGGTGTATGGGCCCACGAGCACTGACCCCAAATGCTGACTTGAGCCCTCTACCCTAAATATAGCGGAGCTCCAAGCCCAACCCTGAACCCTAACAGTAGCCTGCTGGATCGAATAGGGTCTAGGGTTTAGGGTTTAGGAACAAGTAAATAAAAAAAATATATATATATATATATATATACATACACACAAAGCCTCAAGAGCATTTTAAAGGAACCCCGGAACCAAAACCCAAGTCGTTTACCCTAGACCCCCAAGTACCCTCTAATAGACCCCAAATACCCACTCTGAAGGGCCATAACGGTAGATTGAAGGGCCCTTGTGGGGTCCTTTACTGTGACCGGGTATCAGGTTTAGGATCTTCTTGGAGTTTCGTGGCACTTACTATCCCTCAGGATCAAGGGTTTAGGGTTTAGGGTTGATGGTCCAAAGGACCCAATAATAAGGTACTCGGGTTAAGGATAGTAGCTACCTAAGTTACCATTTTGAAGAGTATATGATAGCAAGGTACTTGGAACCTTAGGGCTAAGTGCAGTTATAAGTACCTCAACCAAACAACCAAATGACCCTTGTAAGTAGGGGCCCTATACCACTATACTTTGAATACGGATATGGTTTATGAACTTTAAATCCTTTTAGGTTCTTTTCGTGCTTGAGAACTGTGGGTATAAGTACTTACAACTATCGTAACTTTATGTATAACCCGACCCACGAAGTCCCATGAACTTTGAAGTAAGGTCCCACATATCAGGGCGTTGGGGCTTACCTAGGCTTAGGATTTCGCGTTTAGGGTATGTTCCATACTATGTAATTGGCTTGGATCGCTTCAGACGCGGCTACGCAGCAGCAGCAGCAGCAGCAGCAGCAGCAGCAGCAGCAGCAGCAGCAGCAGCAGCAACACCTGCAATCAGATTGCAAGTAATGCACGAGTCAGAGGTGCGTAAGTGAGTACTTGGAGGTTCATGGGACTTAGCAGCTGGGGTTATAGATAAGGTAACCATACTTATGATTACTTAAAACCCCCGTTAAGGTAAAAATGACTAAGTCCTATGAACCTCCAAGTAGTCAGAATGAGACTCGGCTCTCCTCCCCGAAACCGTTCGTCGGACGTGAGAAGGAGAGGGCCTGCCAAGATATGGGCGGTTGTCAAAATGATGGTCCCTTTTTCGGTCCCTATCACAATACGGCACCTAGTATTTCGGGTACCCAAAAAAGGGACCATAATTTTGACAACCACTCATATGTCCGACAGTTGAAAACAGCAAAACCTCCAAAACAGGAAACCCCCAGCCCAAAAGCGACACTTCATTACCTAATTTCCTCGAAGGCACAATCGCTCTTTTTTCTGAAGGGGATGGGTTGGGGTTTCGGGCCAATATCGTGTCTGGAAATATAGGTTTACATATCAGGTGCTGCATTTTGGATTTTGGGGCTTTGCTTTTTGTGGCTTATGATTTCATGATATTTCATGTTCGAAGGTGTAGTTTCGAGATGCGGATCTTAGTTTTACGGTTGTGGGTTCAGGGTTATCCGAAAAGTTCTGAAAAGACTGAAATCTTGATCCCTAAAGGCTGAACCCCAAATCCTAAATCCTACAAGTTCTAAAACCTACACCGTAACATGTGAACGCGAAGGCCTACAACCGAAACCCTAAGTCCCAAACCCTAAGCGCTAAACCCTAAACCCCTAAACCCTAAACCCTAAACCGCTAAACCCTGCACCCTGAACTCCTAAACCTGCACCTTGAAAGCTAAATTCTAAACCCAAGCCCTAAAGGGAACTCCAGAAAGTTGGAATATGGTTTCAGGGTAGGGTTTCCTATAATTTACCATAAAGGGTTTAGGACAATCATATTCCAACTTTCTGGCTTTTGCTTTATACCCTTAAACCCAGAGGTTCAGCCTTAAACGCTATACCCGAAACCTTATACGCTAAACCCTACACCCCAAGCCTTAGACCCCAGAATCCTAAAAACCCTGAACCCCTCAAGCCTCAACCCCAAACCCTAAAACCCAAACCCTAAACTCTAAACTAACTAAGCCCGGAGGTTCAAGCCCGTTGAGCTCAGCACGAAGAAAGGGCTCAGAGGCTGGGAGTGCTCGAGGAGTCGGGCGGCTAACCCTAAGGGTCCATGGTGCCCAAATAGGGTTCCTTTAAGGGGTTCTAAAGGGTTTGGGGTCTAAGGCTCCATGCTACCCACATAGTATATGCTTTGGCTTTCAAGTAGTTTCCGTAAGGTACGTTGGGGCCTAAGTATATACTATTGGGGTACACGGACCCTTTGGGTAAGAAAGTACATGCCGTAGAATGTGGCTAGTTCTAAGTTGGTGTAACCTTTAGGGTCCTTTTCATAAGGGTGCCGTACTATTTGGGGGATCTAAAAAGGGCCCTGTTTCAGAGAAGTACCCATCGCATACAGGACCTCATACAACGAAGCTTCAGGTAAGCAAGGTACCACGTTTTAGGAAGTAGATAGAAGGTTCTTGAGGTTTGGTGGTATTTCACGGTTTAGGTATGAATGAAACCCTGTCGTTAATTAAGAGCATGATTCTCTTGCCTAAACCCTGACCCCTAAACCGCGCATGATTCTCTTGTAGTCTTCTAAGGTTAGAAGTATGGGCCCCTAATATGGACCCTTCAGCCTTCTTCAGGGAGTTCTAGGGACCCTTAAGAGTCTTTAGGGGGTAAATAGTAAATATTTAGGGATCCCAAGGTTAAGGGCCCATACTAGGGGCCCATGGTCTCAACCCTTGTAGTCTTTTGTTAAAGGAGCCAGGTCTCCACAACAGAGATCCGCAGCAGGGATTTCGGTGCTTCTCAGCTGGTTGCAGAAAGCCCGTTTAGGTGCTGGGGTTCGCTACAATTGAGCTTCGAAGCATGCCGGCGATCGTATTGGAGCTTTCTGGCATGATTTTGTGATTGGGTTGCACGTATGACGTCAATAGGCTAATCTCTAAAACCATAGGTTTAGTTATCTACTATTAAGGTTCTTGGAGCCCGAGGGTGGATTACGGAATAGCCCCCAAAGGCAACATCTGGAAAAGGCTTCCAGAGTATATATCCGGCTGTCAGAACTGGAAGCCATGGAAACATGTGTGCCGGAGCCCTTGCAGCTCTGTCGCAAGAGGCACTGAATCTTGAGCCCCAGAAGGCTTAAAAACACCCTGAGACCCCTGGGCCGGAGAGCCTATGAGGGTTGAGGGGCTTAGGGTCTGGAGTTGCCATATTTAAGTATATATCCATAGGGTAGTCATTGTTGCACAGAATCTCTAGGCCTAAACCCTCAACCCTAAACACTATAGATCCTTCTTTGGAACCCTCAAAAGAACCTTGAACAACCTTAATCTATATATACACGCTAGACCGCGAGGCTCAAGTACGCCCGGCGGCTTTTTGAGAAATGTGATAGCCTCCAGTACGAGTAGCCAGTTCATCATACTTGTGAAGGCTTGTTGGAGGGGGATCAGGTTACCCAGAGTTTCAAACTAACGGCGCAGGGCCTTCCAAAAGCTCAAGGCCGAAAGTCTTCAGTGTGTAGAGATTAACCTCAGTTCCCTTGGTGTTCTTCTGGTTGGCTCTTAGGACTTTAACTTTTTGGGTTTCTCTATGAACCATAATAAGGAGGCTACATGTTTAACTTTTAGGAGGGGTTCATAAGTCAGCCAAGTTCCTAAGCCGTATCTGCAGGCCACATCAAAGAGTCACTCGGCACCCATGGTTACATGAAGTGCCGCTTCTCTGCGCACATCAAGCAGGCCTGAGACTGAAATTCAAAGGGGAAAAGGATTAATGGGGACCCCTACCCTATAATTGGATATATAATGGGTATATAATAGCTATATTAAGGGTATATACCTAGGGGTCCTTATTAAGGGTCCCTCCTTTTACCCTTGGAGAAATCAAACCTGTAAACTCTTCGGAGTATGACTTAACTGCAGTAACTACAACTTATAACAACGGTCCCAAGGCTTGGGACTTTGGGTTCAGGCTTCTTCTTTAAAGAAAGATGCTACGAGGCTTTTTAAGGCCCAGTAGAAGGATTTATGCACAAGGGTCGTCAGGGTTAGGGTTCTATCAGGGACACTATCTTCAAGTTTTCGTTTGAAGAAGGGTCTTAGGGTTTAGAGTTTCGGGTCTACTCAGAATCCCGCCCCATAATGCAAGACCCTAAACCCTCAACACTTGTAGATCGCTTTACAGGAAGCCGCCTTATGTGTACCCTGGAAAGGGGGCCCTGAAAACCTAAGCCCTAAATGGAATTGATTACTAAAGTGGGTTTTGAAGCTTCTGGGGTCCAAGATACCAGAATAGCTCTACCTGAAGCCCATGAGGGTTTAGGGGTTCAAGGTAGAATAATGGCCATTTAGGAGTGCCGGGCCATGATTCTAGAATTTTTTTGGATGAGTTGAGGTGGTGGTTTGGGTTTCAGGGTTTTGGCTTTAGGCTTTGGGGCTGTCGACTTTGAGCGGTTGGGTCTTTCAGGTTTTGCGTGTTGCTGTTCAGGGTTCAGTACTGTTTTGGTGGCGAGAGTTTGTTCTCATGTCCAGGCATCAGATTTGCGGTTTAGGGTCGGGGTTTATTACCCTAAGGGTCCAAGTACCCAAATAGTAGGGTTTCAGGTCCAAAAACCATTCAGAGTATGGATTTCGGGATCTAAAACCCTACTATTTGGGTACTTGGACCCTCTGGGTTAGGGTTCAGGAGTTCGGGGAATAGTCCGCAAGCCCCCAGGCTCTTGCTTGGGCGTCCTTTGAGCATGTGCAATATCTGAACCCCTAAACCCTAGAGCTTTACACCCTATACCCTAAACCCACTAAACCCCTAAACCCCTAAACCGTAAACCCCAAACCCACTAAATCCTAAGAGGCATGGCCCATACTTGCCACGTGCAGTCTCAAGGTTGGGTTTGTGGTGTTGATTCATCAGTTTAGAGTTTAGGGTTTACCTTTAGCCTGAATAGCCTACTTTTTTTAGGGTTCCTTAATATGATTTCCTTATGTAAGTCCTTAAAATGGTAGGTGAGCCCTTTCTTCGTGCTGAGCTCAACGGGCTTGAACCTCTGGGCTTAGTTAGTTTAGGGTTTACCTGTGACTCCAAACCCAGCAAGTAGGTTATGATCCCTTAATTAGAGGGTCTGGCCCTTAAAACAGTAGGTTTTTGGATCCACAAGTAGGGTTTAGGGTTGAGCATCACGGTTCTGACACGCCTGCTGAGCGATTTGGAGTGTATGGTTCGGAGCTAGGGCGAGGGGTCCACGGTTGTCTCTGGTGCTGTCAACCCTAAACCTTGTTAGTGCGGGGCAGTTCGCCGAGCTGTTTGCCAGAGTGTAGGACTTCAAGATAATGTCCCCAGTGTGAGTTCCACAAGTCTACTTCTGCAGAGGACGATACCGTCTGCATGAACCTGTACAAACGAGTGGGTGGCCCAGGAAGGACGCATGTGGTGCAAATGTGGGTTCGTATATGTAATATCTAGCATCACATGATCTGTGAAATATACACCACGACAACTTAGTGCATGTGTATACCACGTGCCCATACCTATACACATGTACGTATTAACACATTGATTGTTTTTATGATGACAATGACAACAATGATGACGACAATGACGGTGACGATGACGACGGTGATGATGATGATGCTGATGATGATGACGGTGTTGATGGTTGTGACGATGATGATGCTGATGACGGTGATGATTGTGACGATGATGGCGATGATGAAATTGATGGCTATAAATATAATTAGAGTGATGAAGATGATGAGGCTGAGGGTGATGGGGTTTTGGTGATGTTGGCAACGATGACGATGATGATGGTGATGGCCATGGTGATGGTGATGATGATGATGATGACAACGACGACGCTGCCTGCTTGCACGGCTTCCGGACTTGTTGGATGTGTGTGCGCGTGCCACAGCATTTGGAGCGAAGAGACTTGGTGCATGCTGCATTACCGAATCCCATACTCTAAACCGCATGCAGCGTCCATGGTTTCATGGCTTCTGGGGTTCAGGGCCTCGTTTCCGTCATGAACATCGAATCGAGCGCACTGCAACTTTGTCCTCAAGAACAGCTCAATCAATACAAAATCCTGTCAACCTTCTCGACACCGCTTAATCATCCTTGAGAGGGAAGCTTCATAAAATGTTAACCCTAAGCCCTAAACCGTGGCTTCGGAAGCCCGAAACCACTGCAAAATCCCAACCCGGAGCACGGAGCTCCCCCAGAGTTACTTGATCCCTACGTGGGAGTTTCCGAAAATCAGGGGTACCTTGGGCTTCCTTTCTCGCGATACTATATGGGCAATATAAGGGTTTCCGAAAATTAGGGTACCATATTTCGGGGTCCTTATAATAAGGCTCCTGCTATGCATGGTACTATATTAGGATCCCCCATTTTCGGAAACTCCTCAAGCCCTAAGGTTTGGGGGTGCGGGGAACATCTTCCAAGGTTTACCCAAAGTGGTACCCGCCTGCCTGGGGCGGCCGTACTGATGCCGGGCCGGAGGATGCATAGGGTTTGGGGTGTTTCATGTCTCCATTAATTAATCTAAGGTTAGAAGTATGCCCCGTTAAAATGGACCCTGAGGCCTTTTTGAGGGAGCTCTAGGTAGGGACCCTGAAGAGTCTATATAGGGTATATAGTTGGTATTTAGGGATCCCAAGGTTAAGGGCTCATACTGGGGGCCCATGGTTTCAACCCTTGATGTGTCAATTAACCGTGATGGCCCATCACTAACCCTTAAACCCTAAACCCTTGAACCCTATAGTAAACCCCATAAAGTTGAAAACCGGATTAAGGCCAAATAGTGTCCTAAACCCTTGAACCCTAAACTGTTAACCCCAACCCCTAAGACCTGAGGCTAAGCCCGAAACCCTCGGCCCTAAACCGTCCTACATCAAGGATCTGCTTACTATAGGGGCCTCCATAATTACCTATCCTGTTTTTGGGGGGGCGTCCTGATTACAAATAAATAAATAAATAAACGAATATATATATATATATATATATATATATATATAATGGGCCCCAAAACCCTATTCTAATTATCAAGGCCCCTATATGAGGCCTCCACGGGCTTCGTTTGTGGTGGTTTCAAGTAAGGTACAACACAGTAGGTTATGACTCCTTAATTCCTAAACCCTAGAACCTGAACCCTCAAAGCAGGATTTGTGGGTCTGCAGTGGCTCCAATTTTCTACCTCTTCAGGGGCTATAAACAGTAGTCGAAAGGAGTTGCTATGTTCCATAAGGGTAGGTGGGTGACTCCTTAATTAGAAGTAGATTCCTAAACCCTAGAACCTAAATCCCTAAAGCAGGATTTTTGGATCCGCATTGGCTCCAATTTTCTACCTCTTCAGGGGCTATAAGCAGTTGCTATGTTCGATAAGGGTACTTAGAGGTTCATGGGATTTAGTAACTAGGGTCACACTTATATATACTTGTAATTCCAAGGATGGTACTTATAAGTGTACTTAGTAAGTCCCATGAACCTCCAAGTAGACCCTAAACCCCAGACCCTACAGATCCCTTTAAGGAACCCTGCCTTTTAAGGAGCTCTTTACTAGGTCCCGTGAACCTCCAAGTAGGCTGTTGATGGGGTGTTTTGTGGTTTCGAGAGAGACTCAGGGGCTGTGACTGCCAGGTATGCCCAGAGCTTCCCTACGGTTTTAAGGGGCTTCTTATAAGGTACTACAAGGGTTAGGGTTTCCTTTAAAGGGCTACTTATAAGGGGTTACTACTACGGCTGATGATATAAATCCTGCATTACCCACTATCAGGAATATACCATAATTCCCATAGTTTAGGAAGGTAGTGCAGGATGTATATCATCAACGGTAGGTCTCCCAGAGGCGCCTTTTTGCCTTTTTGTTTTTGGTCTTAGGTTCCTTCTAGAACTATATGCTTGGGGGTTGTTTTATGCGACTTCGGCGCCGAGGGCACTTGTGTAAGATCATTATAGAGTCTGATAGGGCGTATCAAGGTCACAGAAGGGTTTCGGGGTTTGGATTCGGTGCATACGATATAGGAGTGGTTGCGAACCCTACATAAAGGTTCATGGGGCTTAGTAAGTACGGTTATAAGTACCTTAATTGGGGTTATAAGTAATTATAAGTATAGTTACCTTAATTATAACCCACTTAGTCCCATGAAACTCGAAATAAACCCTGAACCCTGTGGAGAGCGAGCTACGCACAGCTCGGCCATCTGGTATAAGAAGCTGGCGCTCGCAAAAGAAGAGCTGGACCTTAGGGTTCCTTTAAAGGGCTACTATAAGGGTACTATAAAGTTTCCTTTAAAGAGCTACTATAAGGCTTTCCCGATTCCGAGGATTAAGGGTCCTCTATTTTGGGGGTCCTTTGAATACAGTGGCCATGTTCAAAGGTCCCAGGACATAAGTACAAAACCAAGCATAAGACTCACTGAATGTGGATATGTCCTTCCAATCCTGTAGTGATTCGGAGCATCAAACAACCACCTGGTCACCTGGTTCCTGGACGGCATGGGATTATCCTAAATTCTACCTGAATTAAAAACCCCAAACAGCCTGTGGTTTCAAGCGTTGACATAATAGAACATCATAATAAGGAGCCCTAAAAATAAGCAGGTATTTGGAGTTTCAGGGCAACCGCTATGTCCCTATGCAGAGCCTGCGTGTATCTTTCGTACTTTTTTAATTTTTTGCCAGTCTATGGGGTTCAGGGTTTAGGGTTAGGGCTGTCGCAAAACAGGCAACTGATCTGACTGCTTAGTCCTCAAGGTTAAACGTTGGGGTTCAGGTTTGCGGTTTAGGGGCTTGAGCCCCCCACTGAAACCCTCCGCCCCCAAACCTGAGTTACGTTTCAACACCTACCTTAACCCCAAACGCCCTACCTGTTTTGTGCTTATACAAGGAAATCCTAAACCCTAAATCATAGTAAGGAGCCCTAAAAAGGTAGGTTCTTCAGGACTGTAGGGTCCAGGTCAGATGCAACCCAAGGGCTCCAAGTATGCAAAGAGTAATATAGAAGTTTCCGAAAAGTAGCGGTACCTTGGGCTTCTTTTCAAGGGATACTAAAAGGGTAATATAAGGGTTCCTTTAAAGGGCTCTATAAGGGTTCAGAGTTTCCGAAAAGTAATGGTACCTTATCTTGGGGTCCTTATAATAGGGATCCTACCAGTTAGGGTGCTATATTACAGTAGGGTCCCCCATTTTTCGGAAACCCCCCTACTCCTTATGATTATACCATTAATATACACCTAAAGCCTGTTTCGATTCAACAAGGCCCCTGCAGAACGTATATCTTAAAATGCGCCCAAGCACTATATTCCAATTATTAATGCCGCTACAGTACCTACTTCGGGCTATGTGGAGCTCCAAAGCTACCAGGCCTTGTTCTAGCTTATGGGGTGTTTGTATCCTCCTGATTTTTTTTGTCTGAAGGGGTTGCTGTAATAGAAAGCTCCACTGAAACCTAAATTTCGGGCTCATTCCTCAGGTAAGCAACCATAGACCCCAAACCCACAACCCAACTTCGCCCGCATTCTGTGCCGCGGCCTTCGAGCTTTTAAATGCTTCACGTCCATCCCGATGCGTGAGGCCCTCTCATAAACCCTAGACGGCTAGCTTACCCCTAATCCCTAGAATCTTTGTCGAAGGGCTTGCAATATTGGAGGCTTTGGATGCGAGGGAGCCATAAACAGCGCGGCCATCCAAGCCAATGGACAACTAAGCCACATGACCACAGAGCAGTGAACGAACATGTCAACATGCAGGCTTTTAAGTATGATACGCTCCGATCCCTAAACCCTATAAGCCCCTACGGCCTGCACCCTTTAGAGTTCAAGGGTTTTGCGTCTGCTCCATGACCATAAACCCCTAAACCCCTAAACCTTTATATAAACCCTAAACCTTAAACCGCTAACCCCTAACCTCTAAACCCCTAAACCCCTAAACCCCTAAACCCTAAATCCCTAAACCTTTAAACCCTTTTCATAGCCATGACGGACATGGGTCTGTCTGCTCACGGAACATTGCTTTTCGGCTGCAGGGCGACCTCGCGGTTGCTTAGGGCTTAGGGGTTTAGGGGTTTGGGGTTGGGGATTTAGGGTTTAGGGTGTAAAGGCTTAGTGATTTAGGGTCGGGGGTTTAGTCAAGTAAGGGATCGAGTTCATGCGGGGCTTATGTTTTGCAAGTAGGGCTCAATGTAAGTTTAGGGTTTGGTGTTGAGGCTTCCTTGTGTGCTTGGTATGTATATTGCTCGGACTTCCACGAGGCACGATGGTCGCGATGGGTCAAGGCTCAGTAGAGCAGGTACATGCTGTGCCAGTGCGAGGTTAAGTTTCGGGTGAGCTTTGTAATTGTAGGGTGTGCGTTGTAGATGCCCTTAAAACCCTACACCCCCAAACCTTACTAGGTGGTACCTTGTCTTAGTAGCTGAGTGGATACACTTTACACTTTTCGGGACAATACTCACAGCCCACCATAAAACGATAAGTGTACACCTCTTGGGGCTTATGAACTCAGCAGCTAAGTTGTATAGTTTTTCTTTCTGGTCTTGTAGAGACATCTGTCCATATCTAGCGTTGTGGGCTACTTCCCTGGGGCTCCAAAGCTCAAAGTTAGTAGTGCCTGTTTTAGGGTTTAGGGTTTAGGGTTTTATTCGCAGGAAGTAGACCCCAGGGTTTACCTGGAGATCCAAAAGCCCCTAATGAAGGGGTCATAACCTACGATTTTGTAGGGGTTGGGGATAGACCTAGACCCCCCAACTATCCTCTAATATAATATACCCTAAATAAACCCTAAACCCTAAACCCACTATGAAGGACCATAATAAGGGCTCCATGAAAGGGCCATTGCGGGGTCCTGGCAGGTAGGGGTTCACAGTTTAGGGTTGAGGGTCCAGGGACTCAGGGTTTAGGGTTTAGAGTTTTGAGTTTTGAGGGTTTAGGGTTTAGGGTTTAGGGTTTTGAGTTTTGAGGGTTTAGGGTTTAGGGTTTAGGGTTTTGAGTTTTGAGGGTTTGGGGTTTAGGGGGCATCAGGGTTTAGGGTATTTACGGTAAACAGCAAGCCCTAAACCCCAAGTAAGTTTCAGGGCGGGCTTATACCGTAATCATAAGCCTTGGTCATTGAAGTCTCTGCCCGACTGGTGATTCTGCTGCTCGGTACGAGTTCCCGTCTGTAGGAGAAATATGGAAGACTGTCCCGTCACCCGCCTAAGCCTTATACGTATAAAGTACTATAAGGTTCTTAGGTGTATGGTTCGGATTTGTTGGGGAAAGTTCACAGAGCTATGTGCTTAGAGTGTAGAGTTCGGCATCATTTTCAACAACTTAGGTATAAATTCGCTAAGCCGCTTCGACCTTCCAAGACATGTCAATCACTGTCCATGTTGGACTGCTCAGTGGCAGGGCTGCTACTCTGCAAGCCAGCTTGGAGGAAGCAGTTGGAACGTTGAAGCGTCGAGCAGAGACCGCACTCGGCGTCGGCAGCGGGTGGCTGGTGCACTCATCTGAAGGCGTTCTGGATTTGCGTGC